TTAAAAAATAGCTGATTTTATATCTTGAGTCCACTTTTAGCAGCAAGAATTAACTTGATAGAATAATAGGGATGTTACTGTTAAGGTGAACAGAGAAATATGCTCTTCCACCCAGTCCCTCCAGTTTTCTGCTTTTCTGGAGAGGAATTGTACATTTTTATGGGACTTCCCAAATTATCTGTTATTGGTATTCATAACACTCGTTCGCGGTGAGAGACTTCTCCTGGGTCAAGCTGTTCAGGTATAAGCAATTTATTGTAAGGGCAATGAGAGGGAGAGACCTGTGTCTGCTGCCAGCCTCAGCGTCCTCGTGGTTGGGGTGAGGGGAGAGAGAGAGATGGGGAGAGCAGGAGAGGAGAGGTTGGAGATGGGGAGGGAGGGAACAAGAGCAACAGAGGGAGAGCAGGGAACCAGGGAGGCTTAGGAGAGAGGGGGGAGGACAAGAGAGGGTAAGAGGGGGAAAGACCAAGAGGGTAAGAGAGGGAGAGAGGGAAAACTAAGAGAGTAAGGGAGGGAGAAACTAGGAGCAGGGAGAGGGGTAGGGAAAGGCTAAGAGGTGAGAGAGGGGTTAGAGCTAACAGAGTGCAAAGTTCTTGTTACAATACAATATATCTTTTTCTATAGTGAATATTCTAATTCCCAGTTACCAATCAATATGAGATACACCCACTAAAAAATTTACATATAGCCTATGAGCATCTCCATATTAACATACAATGTTGCATTTTAAACTCTAAAAGCTTTGTAAGTTCTTTCCTTGCTTCTTGACCTTTTGATTTTCTATCAGCAGAAGGACATTATTTCATCATCAGGGATTCTCCTTTAGCTGGCTAGGCTATTGTTCTTTGGTTATATAGTAACTAGTACTCAGCATCATGACTCAAAGCAGGCTTTCATTTTTACTTTGATTCTAGGCTTCATATTTTCAGAATCTTCTGCCAAACAATCACATTCATAAGGTTTCCCTGTTTCATCCTCCCCAACAATCTGTTATGGTCTTTTTTACATTAGAAAAAATACTTAATTTTTATTGATCAGAAGTAATCTAATCAAGATTTCTCTTATCACGCAATTCTTCCCCTTTCCCTGCTTTTGTGCTTGTAGTGCTCCTTACCACTTGGCATAGAACTGCCTACCCTGCATAAACATTCCATTGATTTGAAACATACATTTTTATCTCAAATTTTTAGATTTGTGCCTTATTTTAACTACATCTCCTAAAATTAAAGATAGAAAGCTCTTTTGTTGGTTAAAATGACCTTAGAACAACCATGAGAAGATCAAAGTAAAAAGGAGAAATGGGATAGGGATGTCTCAAAAGGCCTGGCTAGGGTCTTCTAGCAAAGAAAAGAACAATTCAACTTAATATTCCTCATGCAAAAAAAAAAAAAAAATTAGAAATCCTTGGCTTCTAAATAAAGTTGAAAAAAAAGATATAAAAGGAATGCCACTTACTTTTTGCCCCATATTCAATGGAACTTTTTACTGTCTGCTTATGCTTTAGTAAATGAGAAATCTGATTAACTTCTGCTGGAAATAAATATTATTTTAACTTGAGTCAAGTCAATACTTAAACTGTTAGATTAACTATTTTTGAATGGATTATATATTTCCTGGGAGCTCAAAGCAGTCAGTGAGCTGATGAGCTTACGATGGGAATAATATGTTTTTTTAAAAAAAAGTTGAAAATAGTTGTGGCTGCCCCATCCCTGGAAATGTTCAAGGCTGGGTTGGACAGGGCTTAGAGCAACCTGGTCTAGTGAATTAGTGGGTCTAGTGCCCACCCTGGCAGGGGTTGGAGTTAGGTAGTTTTTAAGGCCCCTTCAAACCCAAACAATTCTGTGATCATCTTATTCCATGATTCTGTTTCTTTGCCCTGAGCCAGATCTCTCAGAGGCATGCCTGAAGCAGCCATCTGTGGGCAGGGGCTTCTCTCTTTATGTGAAAAAGAATTGAGAAAAAAGCTTGTGTGAAGCTGGTTGCTGAGGCAGAGGTGGAAGTCCCTGTGCAGGGGGACCAGTCTGAAATGCAGAGTGAGGTGCTGGCTGCTCACTGTAGGGAGGAAGCTTGCAGCTCTGCCCTCCCATCAGCTGTGTGTCTGAATGTATAGGTCATACTATTGTCAAGAGAAGCTTCTGACAAGTGAATATGGAAAACAGAAACAAAAAGAAAGAAAGATATTGGAGCATAAAAACAAAACAGTGCTTTGCTTTCTTTTCCAGGTGGATGTTTGGATTATATCCTTCTTCAGCACTGAAGAGCATGGCCTTTTGCTGCAAGACAGCTTTCCATTGCCTTCATCCTACCAGGTTCTTCTGGGCATAGAGGTGCCACATTATTACTTTGCAAAAAAGGTGAGCTAATCTCTAAGAATTCCTTCTGTTCCCAGAAATTCAGACTTTCTACTGTATAGGGATCAAATTTAACCAAATTGAGTCTGGGGTAGGTAGAGCAACTCCAATGGCAGGGGTGCCTCACAGGTAAAAATGACATAAAGATAATTCTGATGCAGATGAACTTCACAGAGTTGTGGAATTTGTAATGAGATAGCTTTTTATGAGTATTGTAAACTGAATGTGACAAGTGTAAGAGAAACAGGAATTACCAGGTAACACAATTGAAAAAGGGACACGGAAAAAAACTCTGCCTTTATCTAGTCACTGTGCCTATTGCAAGTACAAGGGGTGTGTGTGTGTGTGAGATTTATGTAGGCTGTCAGATAGGACACTTCATACTGGCTTTGGCAGAAGTATCTCACTTCCTTGTTGGAATAATGCTTAATCTCCAAGAATACCTAAGAAAGTAAGAATAGTCATCTTGCACCAGCAACAAGTGCTTGTGTGCTGCAAATGCCAAGAATGCAGGCTCTAAGTTCTAAAGCTTGGAATTTCAATCCAAAATTGTTTGCATATCATGTAAATAATACCCTACATAATTCCATGCATACTGGGCAAGCTGCAGCCTTTCACCTACAGATTGGTTTCTGGTGAAGTTATGACGTGAGTTTCCTAGTGGAAACTCACCATCTTAGGATGATGATTTGCTCTGTTCTGTCTTGTAGGGACAGTGGGAGTGTAACAGATCCCATTTACTGTATTTAGTTTTGTAAAATCTACCAGAAATTGATATTAGTGGTACTTCTGATCCTCACATAGTTTGGGAACACTATTAGACAGGGAGAATGTATCTATTCATTATGTTCAGATTCAGAGCATCACTTTGCAATTTCTCCCCTTCAAAGCATTGCCTGTTGTCAGTCTTCCTGTGAAGACTGAGCTTTTAGAGTTGTACTGTGTTTTACTTTCCTTTTTCCCTTAAATTGAAAGGTCAAATGTGATATACTGCATTTTCCAATCTTTCTTTTTAACACTTCTCCATCACATCTCATGCTATTTTACTTTGATATTATGTTTCTTTTTTTTCTTTTTTTTTTTTTTTTACTCTGTATGGATTATTGCTGCCATTAGTTGTGTTTTCAGAGGGGATGTCTCTATAAACCTGTAAGTATCTGCATTGCTTTGGTCCTCTTCCTTCATCCTCTGCTCCTCTCTTGTTTCCATTTTCTTGGTAGGTGGTTGTCTCTTTCTGACAGTCACTTTTCACATCACTTGTATTCATTTGGGAAACTTAATTTAGTATAATAGTAGCCTCTGCTTTAAATACAGCAAATCAAGTTGATGCAACAAGCCTTGTTGACCAAGTTTAATTCCAGGGTTTCTCCTTATTCACTATAATGTCTCTACTCTCCTGGTTCCAGAAATTCCTCAAGTTCTAGTCAAACAGATGTGTGCTTTTGATTTCTGTGGTTTACTGTACCCAGGACTTCCACTGTATTGTAATATAATACAATTTTTAGTGGTTTCTGTATACCTTAAAATGTAGTTATCTTCTGTAACTATACAACTGGGAGAGATGGGGGAGAGTGTCCATGGACTTTGGCATCATTTATGACTCAGATGATCTTCCTCTGTGCCTGGATTGGGAAAGTTTCCTTATTACACTCCAGACAGATCATTTGACATTGAGGATTGAGACTTTATTGTTTTTCTGCATAATGATTGAATTGCTTTGAGTTGCCTTTCAATGAGTGATGAAAGTACCCCTGAAGCTTTAGAATGGCTTGAACCTTCAGAGCTGTAAGGGGAAGGGTTTAAACCCGAGCTTCAGTATTCATAAAATTTACATGAAGGCAAGGATAAAAGCATTTGGTCTGTATAGTTAAATTTCAGAACAGCAGACTAATATTTGAGAAGAAACTTGGAGACATGCTTATCTGAAATCTTCAGAAAGCTGTGAATTTAACAGTTGCTATTATAATAGTAGTACTATTAGTATACATATATATATATATATATATATATATAAAATAATAATGATGGTAATAAAAGGAGGTTACCTTTCTGTGGTTACCAATCTCCAGTGATCACTGACATGCTGTGATTGTTCACTGCAATATGCTAATCTCTTCTATGACATTCCATATTTTGTGGAATTTTTGGTGGCATTTTCTAGGATGTTCTGAAACTTCACAACTATTGTCACTATTGATCATGGTCCTGCAGATATAAAAAACTTGGTGGTGGCAATAGTACAGTTTTACATGTACAAAGGAGTAAATTTCAGCCTGCTTAATACCTATATGACAACCTTCTCCTTTTAGCTGGGAGAAGCTGAGAAGGCAGCATCAGAGTCTGGCTCAGGAACAGTCTCTCAAATGGTTGCAAGAAGACCCATGAGAGATTTCATTGGACTGGGGGACTGTGATAGCACCACCCAGGATGCCATGCTGAACTTCAGCTACTATCTGACTGCTGGAGACATGGATGAGGCCTTCAAATCCATCAAGCTGATAAAAAGGTATCAAAACTATTTGTATATATTTCTTCATGGGTGCAGTTTATTTTTGTTAAAAGTTTGTATGAAGTGTAGATCTTAGATTCTCCTTGCCTTTTCCCTCTCTGATTTCATTCTCCCTTTTATTTTTAACCAGAGGAAACATCTTTATCTCACAGACATTTTAATGCTCTGCTCATTCTTTGTCTATAATACATTGTGGATTCTTTTTTACTAAAAGAGAAAGAATTACTGATAACCTGCAACATTATCCTGTGTCTGAATGGCAAAAATGTCATCACTTGAAGAAAATGAACATTCACAATTTTATTTATACATCTAAAATAATCACAGCAATACCAAGTGTTATAGATTTACCAACCACATAGCTGTTTTTTAAATTCACATGTACATTATTATAATATGGATATTGCAATATTAGAGGAAATAATATAATGTCTCTTAAATACTCTAATATTTTATTTTAAGAACCACCGCATTTAATCATATTACTTCTGGACTTCTTTTTTTTTCCCAGAAAATTAATGCAGGCAGATGAATACTAATTTTAGTTGGTTTTTACAAACCTACTGCTAGAAGAAACTCTTTGTCAGCTTAATGGTATTTCCCCTGACAGTCTAGAGCAGTGCAGTTGTTCTAGAGCATCAGTCTCTGTACAGTGTTTCTCATTTGGAATGTGGTGCAGAGCAGCAGTTGGGGTTGAGTTTCTTATCATAACCAAACTGAGTGCAGAACAGAACTCAAGAGCCAGCTTGATGATCACATTTTTAAAAAGTCTGGAAATAGTGATAAAGAAGCAAAGCAGTGTACTCAGCTGGGAGCAACACAACAGTCTTGAGGAATTTGTAACATTCACAGCTCATGGTCCCTCAATCCTATCAGTAATTGTACTCAGAGCAGCATTCTGAGAGTGCTTACACACCTGTCATTGCCTCAGGTTCCTGTATCCCATGTATTCGTGCATAATAGTTTTTGATATGTTGTGGGTTTTTTTCTGAAAATTATATGCATATGACTTTTGTGAGGCCATGTGCTTCTCAGGTTGAGGCTTATAAACATTATACCTAATTCTATAGGCATTACTTTTTTCACTTCATTATCATATCAAACTATCAGGCAGGTTGTTTTTAAATGTCAAAATCATGAAGTCCTGTATATTTATTTTATTCTCCAGTCTGGGTGCTTGAGTGGCAGCTCTGTTCTCCAATATTCCCTGTGTTATGTGGCTCTGGGCATTGCTGGGCAGAACTGGTGTCCTGCCATAGCATTCTAATGTCACATCAAATGTTATAACTAGCTGGTGAGAAGACAAACCAAAGTGGGCTGGAATATTTCTTTTTTATAATAGTTCCCAACAATGCAATTTAATAATATATTTGATTATTAGGGAGTTCAGGTAGCCTCCTGTGGACATTTGCCCTCAATGTAACATTGAAACATTTTTTCAGCAGCATGTGTGGCCTGTTCTAGCTGCGTACCATTCTCATTTTTAATGTCTGTTTATGCATAGGACGTTAGCAAACCTGTGTCTCAGCATACAAAAGAAATGTCTGAAAAAAGTGCAGCTTAATTCTTCTGCAATTCCTTTCTTTACATAAGAATAGTTAGAGTTGCTTTTGCTTTTTACTCTCTGGTCTGTTCTGGGGCTGGGAGCAGGTATTGCAGCTAATGAGAATTTGTTCCTTGTAGAGAGGTGAATAGAAGAACTAGAAAGTCATGAAATTTAGACAGTTTTTAAACCCACCACTTAGTCTATAGTGAGTTTTCTGCTTTCTCAGATTGCATGTTAACTCCCAAGCTATTGTCACTGGTCTCCTATACCTTTTTGTTTTATTTTTAGGGAGCAGGAGAACTTGATGCAGACAGAGAAAATTTGTTTGGTTCCCTCTTTCCTGTATTCTCATTGCATACACTTGTTATCTTTTCCAGCTGACCCTGCTGCCATGCAGCCAACCCAACAATTCTGTGCTGTACAACAAAAGGAGAGGGCAATATAATATTTTTTATATATATGTATAAAATTATGTGTTTTATACATATGTATAGAGATGGAGCCCATCCAAATAATAATCAAGGACCTCTGCCCAAACAAGTGAACATTGTAATGTCTTGCAACCCTTAAATTATAGCATATATAGAAAACAACTCCAATGCAGATTTCCTTGGTGATCTTTCATCTTTCAAGTGTGCTCTTTCAGCATGGTGACTCAACATAGTCATTTTCCAAGCCACGGCGAAAGCGAGCAGTCAGGGTGCGGCTGATGACAATGACCCGGGGTGCCATGCAGTCCTCACGCCTGTGGAGGATGTTCCAGATTAGAATGGCAGCTGCCAGTGTGGCCAGAAGGCAGGCTCCAATGTTCAGGTAGCAGGACCACGAGAGGTTGGTGTATGGTCCGATACGATAGAATGTCACCAGTCCGATAACCAGAACAAAACCTGCAAGCAAAATGGCAGAGTTATTTTTAATGAGCTTTTCTCTTGAATTTCTGTAGTGGCAAAATGTTATTGGCATCTCAACATTTACAGACTCACTGTTCATAAGTCTGTCGAGCCTTTCCACCCCTATTATGATATGCTGGATGTGTTTTTGAAGGCATATTTGAGCCTCACAATACATGCAAAGAGAGTGCGTTAAACAGAGGCTCAATATTAAATTTAAATCTGTTCACTCTGATTTAAGTTTCTTACACCCACTGAGCTGTATTTCATGTTGGGTTTTTTCCCCCATGCATTTGAATTACTTACACAGATGTCCTTTTTCTTACTTGCCAAAAGAGAAAACAGCGATATTAATGATGATGATGATGAAGATGATAATAATAATAATAATAATAATAATAATAATAATAATAATATAAAAAATCTTTTACTCACAATACATACACTTACTGTGAAATTATAAAATGCTTATTGAGGCAGGCCACTATGTAAGTGGCCTGCAAATATGAGGAATAGCTAAATATCTTACAGAAATAGTAAAAAGCAATGTTAAAATTAAGTAACTCAAAAAAAAGGGAAGGTGAAATAAATTGAACTTCATTGTCCTACTTTTTCTTGCTGGACAAAAGTGTTATGAGGCAGAAGTAATGTCATACCTCCAGAAGCTACTGAAGACAAAGTTTCTATTGTCCTTGTAACCTTAAGCACAGTACTAAGTTCCCTAAAAGGTAAGTAATACTAGAGTAATAACAGTGCACTTGTCTAGCATTTCCATTCAGGTGTCACAAAGTGATTTGCAAAAACAGTAAAAAAAAAGGAAAATTTCTCATTCTCTTTGGTGGTTACATTACTGATGAATTATAGTAATATTATTTCAGAAGTGAGGTGGGGTAACTGTTCTAGTTATGCAGGAGATCCATGTTAGATCAAGAGGCAATCTGTATCCCTTTAAACCTCCTTTTTTATGTTACCAACACCTGTCCATTCTCTGTAGAATGCATTGATAACCACATGATTACTTTTCTGCTCTCTGTTTATTGTATTATCAGAGAACTGTACCATCCCAGGATGGTTTGGATTGGAAGGAGCCTTAAAGCTCATTGCATTCCATCCCCTGCCATGGGCAGAGACACCTCCCACTACCCCATGTTGCTCCAAACCCCGTCCAACCTGGACTTGGACACTTTCAGGGATTGAGAGGCAGCCACAGCTTCTCTGAGCAACCTGTGCCAGGGCCTTCCCACCTTCCCAGGGAACAATTACTTCCCAATATCCCATCTAACCCGGTTTCTGGCAGTGGGAAACCATTCCCCCTTGTCCTGTCCCTTAGAGCCTTTGTCCCAAGTTCCTCTACAGCTGTCCTGGACCTCCTTTAGTCCCTGGAAGGGGCTGTGATGTTTCCATGGAATCTCCTCTTCTCAAGGTTGAACATCCCCAGCTCTCCCAGCCTGGCTTCAGAGCAGAATGGCTCCAGCCTGGTCTTTCTTCCTGTACCTATTGTCAAACAAAACTATTTTTCAACTTTTTAAAAGAAATTCATGGATGTAATTAGATTGAAACAAACACAAAGAGGCAAGTATGCCTCACTAACCAAAAAAAGATTTTCTCTTTGTTATCCTACACACTTCCTTAACCACCACCAAAACAAAGGAATGTCATTGCCAAAACGACCCCTTCATGAAGGAAGACTAGAATAAATAAATATCTATGAACTGCCAGAACATATCTGCACACCATCTTCCTAAGTTCATGGGCAAGGAGAAGTCAAGAGCTTCCCAGCTGCTGCATGCTGTTTTCTCAGCTTGCCACAGTGCCTTTGCCTGCAAACATTTTCCCCGTGGATACATGGCAATGATATGACCCCTGGCCCTGGTCCTTGATTTTCCATGAAAGAGCATATCCTGAGTGTGCATTGTACAAATTCTTTTCTTAAAAGAGTACACTGGTAGTGCAGTGAAGATGGAAAAGACACAAATTACATACAGATAAAAAACACAGAGGATGGAAATGACATACAAGTAGGAGGAAAACGATCATTACTCTAAGGTGTGACACTTGTACTATTTTGAGAATCAGTAAAATGAAGGCTGAATCCCCCTCCTCATAATACAAACACTGAATGGATATTCCTTCAGGAGATGTCTGGCATACTTGGCTCTCCTGTGTCTACCTAGAAGGTGCTTTGTAACAGTTTCTTGCTTCACCTTCTCCTGAGGTGGCACTGTCCCACAGCTGGCATGTCCAGAGAGGGTTTGGAGTGAGGCATTTCTCTGTCTGAGGACAATTAAGGAGAAAATAGGTTTTTATGGGAGGAGTAGCTTTTTACTGCTCTTTCCCCACTCTGATGTTAAAAAAAGCCTAATATACCCTAGAAGGATTTTAGGTTGTTAACACAGTTGTAAGGGCACAGTAACTCCTTGGTTTTGTCAATAAGTTTGGTAGTTATTTTATGATTCATCTTTGTTATAAATAAACATGTTTCATTTGGAGAGAATGTGGCCATGTGGAGCACACTGAGTTGTAGAAATCACTGGTCCATCCAATAATGGTTTGCTGGTGCAAATAAAATATTTTCCCCTCATTGCCAGTAGTCAGTTTGTTCAGCTTGTCCTGAGGCACATGGTAGAAAAAACAGGGGGAGATTAGGTTCTGTTTTGTGAGAGACATTAGGTTTTTTAAACTTTCCTCTGAGACGGCTCGGTTCCCCGGCTGATAAAACTTCCTGTGTTTATTTTGTATTTCAGAGCTTTGGGAGCAGGGCATGGTAGTTGTGATATGCTTATAAAGAATTTGGATATCTGTATCTTCAGTTAGGTCTCATAAGGGTGATACACATTGATACTGCTTTGCAGTCCATTGTTCAAATTATTATAAATAGCCATTTTCTTATGAAGGTAGGAAATCAAGAGGAAAGGACCTGCTTGCACCTCCTGTAGCTGAGTTGACCTACTTCATCTCCTTGTGGTTTAAAATTGGCAGGAAGGAGGGTATTGATATAAATCAAGAGACCCATCTTACTTAGTCTGGCACATGAGAAGGCTTTTTGTAATCAGTTTTGTTTTTCAGTTTTCCTTTCAGAACTCATTTTCACTTTCATACACACTTTGACAGGGAATCCATAAAGTGTTATTTTTTTTATTTTTTTTTTTTAAAGTGTGAAGATAATCATAAAACTTCAGGCAGGAGGAATTTTGAGCAGGAGCTGTTTGGACCAGTGACCACTAACAGGTACCTTTAAGGGACAGTTATAAATATTAAAAAGTTCCCACTATCTTGCAGTATTTTTTTGAGGTTCTCTTAGCAGAGGGACATGGGTTCAGGAATACCAGTTACACAGAGTAACCCTGGTGCTATGTTGTGTCTTGGAGATTAATTCCCACTGTAGGAATATTTTCAATATTTAAAAGTTTTTCCAAATACCCAGCTTTTAGTGAAATTACTTAGCTTTGTCTTTCTTCCTTTTGTATTACTTATGGCCAATTATTGTCCTAAATGACTTAACATCTCCATGTTCTCTCTGATGGAGCAATTATCCACCAGTGGAAAGGCTTCCTTACGGGTCCCCAAATAAAGCTATTTTTGCTAGAAGGACTATTTTCCTTCACAAGCCCTTTGCCTGAACCCTGCTCAGATGAGCAGCCGGTTACACAAAAGGCTTTATCTCCTTTCCCAGTTCTGTGCCAATGGCTGAGTGGGGTAGATTGACTGGGTTTGAGAGCTCCCTGAACTGACATATCATGGGAACCAGTTGCCAGAGCTCTTGAGTGAAAATGTGCATTCTGTTTAGGATCCTTTGCTGCAGTTTAGACAGGAACTGACATTAAGAGCAGACAAACACATGACAGAGGCAGCAGAGTTGGAAGCACGTTACTGTAGAGTTTATACAATTAGTTTTACAGTTCTGCAAGAGTCAAGGAACTCCAAAATAGAAATGTCACTGAGAAAGTTATTTTCCAGCATTCTTATTTCATATTAGCATGGCTTGATATGGGAATTATAAATGTAGGAACTCCAAAGAAAAAGATGAAGAAATCATTATGATCCAAAAACACTGAGTTTGCATAGGATGGTGAGTTTTAAATTTTGATGAATGCTGCTTTTGTGAAGATGATGATGTATGAAAACCTCAAGGTTTGCTTGGATACGTTTTGTCTATAACAGTATAATCAAACTTGGACTTCTTGGAGCAAAATGTTCCAATGTGCTACATATGTTTTTCTTGCCCTTAGAGGAGTCTTGTACTCTAGCCAGGAACTAGGGTGGAACATTTAGTCTGTTCTCTAAATGACTGGGCAAAGACACATAGTTCATGTATTTGTGCCATATAATGGTTAGAAGTATCCCTATAAAAATTAACCTTGTTGTAAGAATAGTCTCCAGAGCTGACTGTGGTGACTTTTCCCTTTTTAGATAGGTATTTGTAACAATGTCTGAATTCAGTTTCAGTATTCCAATAAAATACCTAGAGGAAGATATTTGGCTTCCCAGACTATTTCCCATAAACAGCTCTACTAAAAATAGCTGTAAAACTGCTCTTTTTGCCATCAAGATTCTTGAGCTCACACTGTACAATACAGGTTGACAAGGGCTGTAGAAGGGACATATTTCTTTAAATTTATTTATGAAGATATTGAGCATTTTCACCTGATTTAGTTTCTTTTCTGTTTTGTAGTGATGACAAAACTTTGAGATGCATGGCTCAATTTCCCTGAATTAATTTAATTAAGTACATCAATCAATTTCAGATAATTGTATTGTATATTGTCTCAAGACTGCACAGAGGCCGCAACTTCACTAAAAATCCTGATGAGATTACTTGAAGTGCTTTTTTTTCCCATAGAAGCTGTTTATCTCTAGTTGTTTCCCATCTGCAGCAAAACAAGCCGAGAGGGGGGTGGCTTTTCCGCTGGGGAAGGAAACAGATAACAAAGTCACTCAGAAGACTTCTGGCTGGAACAGTATTGACTGTGGTAGTGGGGGTGGGTTGGGAGAATGTT